TAATATATATATATATAAATGCAAAACCGTTTAAATTATTTTTCAGTTGACCATGTATTTCTTTAGGCAACAGTTCCGCTGCACAAATAATTAGAACTTTATTTCTTATCCAAACCCAAGATTTCCAGAGCAGAAATATCAAGAAGATTTCAGCCACTTGTTAGAGCCAGCTATGCAAATCCAGTTACGTTACCATTTTGGGAATGAGAACTGTAAATAATGGCAACTACGGAGAATGTGTTTTGTCACTACAGAGACGCTGAAAATTATGAAAGGTGTAATATTTCTCTGAGGAAATGTCTGATCTACTGCATTTAACTGTATTTTTCCCTTTTCGTGAATGAATGTTTTCTGTAGGAACTAAACAATAACTGCTTAGCCTCTTGGTCAGAACAATGTGTATATATTAATTTCTCTTAGTGTTTATAAACTTTTGGGTAGGGGAGTATAACCAAACAAATGTGTGTTCTTTCTTTGATACCAGGGTTCAACTCCACCAATGACTGTATTTAAAGGAAATAAAAGGCCATATCAGAAGGACTGTGTGCTTATTATCAATCATGACACTGGGGAATACGTGCTGGAAAAACTTAGTAGCAGCATCCAAGTCAAGAAGACAAGGTAAAGTTGGGGACAGGGCTATTGATACGATTAATTTGTGCTGAAGTTTCTTCTTCAGATTGGCTTTGGGACCAGAACTCAGTTTTCTTTTATTTTGTAGTGGTGTTTAACTACTCAGCCTTATGGGCTTTACATGAACAATTATCTTGCCTAAAAATGCAAATAGGAATGTGAATCCAAGAATGAAGAATTTGTAAGTTCTCCACTGCTGAAAGGACATAATTATAGTTTGCGATGAAACACCTCTGATGATTTGAAGCTTTGGAAGCTGGCTGAAGGATGGGATGTGTTTCAGGAATCTCTAGTTAGCTGAAAAAGACCATGGAAATATTGGGCTGTCAAAAGGATTGTTGGACTTTGTAGTTTTGCTCTCTACAGCTTCCTGTGGGAGTCTTGATGCTTTAATAAGATACTCGTAGGAAACAGGAAACACTCATCCCTACATTGGATCAGTGATATAACACAAGAGCAAAGCCTCCAGCTTTGGGGGGGGAACTGTGGAAATAATGGCTCTGAAGTTTTGCCTAGGAGAACTGCTGAGGCCAGAAATCCTCTCTGACAGTATTCTTACTTCACTGCACAAATGCTACAAAGTGTGCAGCTGGAACATTTTTAGTAATCTTACTGCTCTGCAAGTACCTGAAGTCTCTGGATCATGTTCTTTCAGCATCACTGGACCACAGGTTATTGAGATCTAAAGAGAAAGCAGTTACTCAAATGTCTCATGAAGAAGCTCTTAAGCAGTTTTACAAGTTTTACATTAAAAGAAAAAAAACACTTAATTGCAGTGTAGAAATTTTAGCTGCTAAAACTACTAGAAATGTGGGTTGCAGCTTATCAGCAGGTGGCTGGAAGTTTGCCAAGAACACCTTGAGTTCAAGGTAAATGGACCGTAACACTCCTTTGAATCGGTGATGTGAAAACTCCATGCGGCATTCATCTTGTCCAGTGGATACGAGCATGTCATAGATGAGATTTGATTTCTAGATTTAAGTTCTGTTGGACTTTGTCCTGGTGAAGCTTAAGTCAGAAAGGAACAAAGAAGTGCAGGAGGGCTTGGGTTCAGTGAGGTGTTTGGATCCACTAAGTTTTGGCTCTGGTGAGGTGAAAAATATTTCAACTTTTCTCAAGCAGGGGCAGGATAGTAAAAAAATCGGGGATGCCTCTTTTGAGGAATAGTGCTTTGCAAAGTCATTCAGTTTTCTAGATCAGAAGTGTATTTTTTTCGTGGCTACTTTGATCTTTAATAACCTGTTGACAGTCTGTGGGAGCAGAGTTTTTAGTGTCCTGATGACATTCGTGGGAGAGTAATTGCACTTATTCTACTTAAAACCTTCTGTGGTTCCAGGACCATAATTAATACTGGAAAGAATCTTTTGCTTTTACCCTCCAGTCAATACAGTGAGCGTACTCCCAAATCCTTACTTCTGTTGTAAGTGACTGAGTAAGCTGCATTAATGTGGTATCAAATAGGTGCATTGTGATGAATGAAGAGGTGGTTCTGTGCTTAATTTTTGAGGCTGCATCTACAATTCAGTGAGGCACAGAGATACCTGAGTTGGTGCTGAATGTACTAGCTCAGGTGCCAGCAGTGGTTTAGGTGAAGTCCCAGGAAGTTCTCTGTGGGCTAGTTTAACTTGTTTCTCAGTGGGATTAGCTCACAGGCACAAAATGTCACATTGCTATGCTGGAACCCTCCTAGAACCAAAACTGAGCTCTAATATCCACATGAGCTGCTTCTGTGCTACGCTCCATAAAGCCAGAGCCCCAAAGGCTTTGGTATTATGTGATAAATACATCAGACACTTTAGCCTCATGATGGTGTACCGTAGGGGGGGGGGACCTGAGTAAGTGTTTTGGTTTGGGTTTTTTTTCTGCCAAAGAAATTGACTGACCTACAATCTCAATCACATCAGTGATTCAGTAGAAGGAAGAAATACCTGTTTTGAATTGAACAGCTAGGCAGAACATTATTCTGGAGACCATTTTCCACTAAGGAAACAGCTTAAATGATTTTTAAGATATAATAGCAAATGAATGAAAAATACGAATTAAATGGTTGCATGCTGTATTTAGCAGTAAGAATGATTGCTCTAGTCAGGTTGACCTCTAAGAAAGTTCAGTTTGAAATTATTTAATTGCAAGTGAGAAAATTCTTTCTTTTGCTGTGATTGTTTTAAGCAGGACTTTGAGTGGAATTGTTTTGTCATGTAGTTCCTTCAAATTACTATGATTGCTTATTCTTTTTTAAAAATACAGATATTAATTGCTAAATTGAAGCCTTCATTGTTCTTCAAACAGAGAATTTTGCACCACTGAACCACATCTGGATTTGAAAATACATTTTGTAAGGGTGTTGCAGTGCAGTTGTATCTGCAAATTTGCTATTGAAAGCAAGTGTTGCATACAGAAAGCTGTAATTCACTGTTTATCTTTAAAACAAAGTAGAGATCTGTAAAAAAGGAAGTCACAGATGATGCATTAGTACAAGGATATTGAAAAAGCTGAACATAGTTGCACAGTACCTCTGAATGTCTCTGGTGGTTTTTTCAGAGCAGAGGGCAGCAGTAAGATCCAAGCCCGACTGGAACAACAGTCTGCCCGAGCATCTCAGCCTCCTTCACAGTTCAGAGCCCCAACCAAGCCAGCGGTTGGTCCCAAAACTTCTCCTTTGAAAGATAATCCTTCACCTGAGCCTCAGCTAGATGACATTAAGAGAGGTAAAAACGGGTTTGTAGTCTCCTGAGTTTTTGATTGATTTTGTCTTTCTTCATAATAATAAAAAGTATAACTGTGCAATTTATAAAAACATTAGAATGTTCAGGGATTAAAAGACGGTACTTGACAGCTGGTTTGTCACCTTTAGATCTCATTTTAAGGCATTTTAGTGAGTTATTTATTTTCTTCTGCCAGCACAGATATTTATACTGCTGTCTTCTCTGGCATGAGAGAACTTCCTCTTTCTGGATAATTTTTTCTCTTCCAAACTATTTCTCTGTTCTGAAAATAAGACAAAAGAAGCATTAATTCAGAAGCCTGTAGCTGAGTGCTAGATGAGTTGAATGGGTGTCTTAGGCAATGACAACAACAACAAAGCTAATGGTCCAAGATCTAGTTATGCAATCAAGTAACTTAGACAAAAATGATTCCTGCACTGAGCAAGGTTGCAGCCATTTGCCAGTGAGATGGAAGGACTGGGTGGCTGTGTTCCCATCACAAGCCTCAAGCTTGTGCCATGCCAAGTAGGGGAGGGATGAGAGAGTGAACAACTCTGCAGCTTGCCCTTTACCACAGCCACTCCTCTGCAGCATCGATTGCATCTGCCATATAGTTGCCATACTTCTATTAAAGTACCTTGAGGGATGACTGTCTCAGCTCAGTCTCCTCAAGCAATGCTTTGTCTCAGTGTTTTGCTGTGAGCAGGGTGCGCTTTCTTTGCCCATGTCCTTCCTTTCATACTGGTGATACCTGGTTTTGCTGTGGGTAATACAGTCAGAATGACAAAGATTTAAAATTTAATTGTTTCTTGTCTGGCACCAGCTACAATTATTTTAAAATTGTTCTTTCTGTCTAGTATTTTTTTTTCTGGGTCTCTTTTTCTTTCTCTTTTTTTTCTCTGTCCCATATAGCTATTTTTGCCTGTTGTCTTAGCCTATGTTAATTGCCCAGACTGTGTTAATTACTTAGCAGAGTATTTTTTTCCATTCATAGTAATCACTAGCTGACACTTGTACTGCTAAGCAATCTGTGTGTTTGCCTAGGTGCTGACTGGTCTCACTCTTGCACAGCAGTAGTATTTTCAATACCTGGATGCTGGTCAGCAGACAGAAACGACCTCTGAGAGTCTGTTAGCTACAGTTCCCTTAGCTGCGTTGCCATTTTTATTTTCTGGGTAATAGGTAAGGAGAAAGATAACAGGTGATATATCCATTTAAAAATTGAATCAGTTGTGAATTTTAAATGTCTTTTATTGTAGTGTGTAATAAGTTACTTAACCATTGGGGCACTCTTTTGTATACATACAGCAATTTGTAAAGGTCATGTTATAGTACAACAATTACAGATGTCTGGTGTGACGTCTGTTCTACAAAGACCACTTCCTAGTGATCTAAAATATAAGTCACATTGTTTAGAACTGTCCTAGTAATTTTTTTGCCACCTAATAATCTTTTCTTGGAAAGTACCTCCAAAGAAATAACCTGTAGAGTTTTTTTTCCAAAATCAAGCAAAAGAACACCTGACTTGTATTAAAAATAGGACTTCAAGTTGGTGTTTTATTGGGAGAGTCATTCAAGGCCCCAGAAGAGTGCAAATACCTGGACAAGGTGGTGGGTTTTTTTTTGCTTACAGTATTTGCTCTTTATAACTTTTTTCCAGCATTGATTATCTAGAGTGTCAGCATTACTAAACCATTTATATCATAAGAACCTACTTGGGAAAGGTAGAACTAAAATTGCACCATTCTACAATGAAAATCATTAATAAAACTTAACTGTAAAAGCTGTGCGATAGTCTTCAGTCCTTTTATCTTCCCTTAATGTGTCTTCTTATGAACAAATACTTGTAAGTTCTGAAGAGACTCTGTTCTTTCAATTCAAGCAGTAGCTTTCCTTTTGAGTGAAGTACCTTCTTTGTATGAAAGAAAGATAAACATAAAACTGAGATTTTGTGATTTTTTTTTTTTCTTTAATGGACACAGCACAGAACTTAAAATCCTTAAAGGAGGTAGTTGAAAGGATCTCTGGCACTATGACACTTTCTTGCTCCCAGTATGCCCTACTTCAGGGTATGGTAAGACACAGAGGCCTCGTGATGTTTAACAGTGGTAACCTCGGTGCAGTTTTCTGCTTACCCCTGCTACCCTCAGCAGTGCATTCCCATAGCTTCCCTTACAGATGAGCTGGGAAACAAACTTTCAGGTAGGTCGGTTCTCTGTCCCATTACACAGCTGTTCAAACAACAGTGCCTGAGGACAGAGTCAGAGCATGTGGGATTTGAGTCAGTCCTTTCCTTCATGGAGAGAGGCCTTTGGGAGGGGAGGCTATGTCTAGGGTCCTGCACCAGAAGAATCTTTTCCCCTGGAAGCTTTTGTATTGTCCTCCTGCCTGAAGGGAGCAAAAGAGAGAGTCAGAGCTTGATTTTTTTGAATACTTGGCTACATCTGATAACGTTGTACTTGAAAAAAAAAAACCAACATAGAAACATATTTCTGGTTTGAAGTATGTAAATTCAGTGCTTAAAAATCTGAGCAGATCTTGTTTACCTACAATGCAGCTGTGGTATGTAAGGATTATGCCATAGCACTGTGTTTGTCTACCGAGAACACCTCCAAGAAATTTTTTGCACTTCATTGTAAAATACTGCTTCTTCTAGCTGCCATCTCTGCATGCTCCAAGTGCCAGTATCAAGTTGGTTTCTCTTCACCTTGCATACCATTATTAACAGTAAGCATACAACTGTATCTTCCTTATTCTCCCTAAAGGTGGATGACTTAGTTTCCAAAAGTGCTTGGTATTCTTGTAGTCCGAGGTTAGGGCTTTAGTTAAAAATTCTGCATAGCCTATTGGAACTGAGAGAAGAAGTAAGAAGCCTTAGACGTGGTTATGGAAAGAAATTAGGGCATTTGATACTGAATATATACAGAAGACAGCCCTGTTAAGAAAGGCTGTTCTGTTTGTATAATGATTTCTGACCTTTAATTTTTTTTTTTTTACTCTAAAAACTGCATTGACTGCCAGTGTAAAACAGTAAGTTGTTTTGTTTTCTTGAAAGAAAGCCTACGGTTGTAACATGAAATGTGCCTAAGGTTCCCCTAGCAATGTCAGCCTTTTCAGATGATGTAGACTTAATTAAGGCAAGTGTTCATAACTATTCTATATGGAAACCTTTTTTAAAACTATCTGCTGCACATCCTAACTCTTGTCATCTTTGAAACCTTAAAGGTGCATCAATATGAGGTGTTTGATCTTAATGCACAAAAAGATCTAGAGAAAGTCTGACTCTTGTTTGGCTTGGCATATGTGTACAGGTAAACACACAACTATTTTAACTGAAGGCACCACGAGGAAGTGTTTAGCCAAGGCTTCAGTATCTCTAACTGCACTAAGGATAACAGGCAAATAGGAAAATGCAAAATTGGACAAATTTAAAGCAGGTGTGTTTTTCCTACAAGGCTTTGGTGTCATCGTTGGCTTAGCCACCATCTTTGACAGTGTGACACGAGGGTTTTGGACAGATTTCCTTAGTGGTCCTGCTGGAGTTCTGCCTGACAGAATTTTAGCAATGGAGCAACCACCATAACATTAGTGAAAGCAATTACTTTTTGCTCGTCTGCACAGACAAGATGTTTAGAATTCTGGGCTAAAGGAATTAGACAAGAGAGACCTGAGGGGAAGGTGACAGCCTGTGAAGCGAAATTGACTAGAAGATGGGTTAAGACTAAGTTTCCACAAGGGACCACTGTCACTGGTAACACCCTTCACTTCCCAGTCCTTGTAGCCTGTGATACTGGCACTGTTTTGCTTTTCCTGCCTGTATTCAGCTTCTTCTAAGGCATCCTCTCTTTCCTTCCTCATAACTAAACCTCTTCTATGGACTCTTAGTTTTCTGCTTCCCCAGCAGAAAACCCTGACTCTTCAATCTGACACTAATCTCTAATTCTGTTTAAAATTAGCCTGGCTGATCTTCCTTTCCCATTCATCAGACTGCATAATTTCCTTCAGTTATCTCCTCGCCTACTGGATTGAGTTCAAACTTCTTGTTTAGATTTTCTTGTTGCATCTTTTCCCTTTCACCACCAATGCCTCTTAGATTGCTTCACTTTATTCACAGTATTCTATATGCTACTTTGTGGGCTGCTCTGTTCTTCTCAGCCCATGTGCCAACACTCCTCCATTTCAGCCATAGGCTCTAGCTCTGTAAGCATTTGTCTGTAATTCTCAGACACTTGTCCTTTATCAGACTTGTTTGTTGAATCTTTTTGCAATATGGACTGTGGTCTATAGGTGATTCTGCTTGCTACAATCCAGGATGTTCTAATGATGTGTTATTATCATCAACTCACAACTCCATCACTAAAAGTATGTGGAAATTTTACATTGTTAAGCTAGGGGAAAAAAAACCAAAACATCTGGGCATTTTAAGGGAAAGAACCCTTATTCCTGTTTACCTTTCCTTTAGCTTTCCGCTATGAATTTCTTAGCTTTGAACACTGGCAACATTTACAATTTGAAATCCTCAGTGTGGGTAGGCTGAGAACAGTGACTTACAACTGCTCGCTTGTCTGTGTATGGTATGAAATAGATTTTTAAAGCCTGCAAGACTGTGTTGGGAGGGAATAAGGGAGAAAGACATTACAGGACAAAGTAATATCTTCTGTTGGCTTAATCATATATTTTTCCTCCATCTTCCAATGGTCTCTTATGCTACATCTTCAAGATGAAAGAGCAAGTTTTACCTGGCATACTAATACAGAGAACATAGGCAATCCAGTCAGGGATCTAGATTTAGGAAGTTGGAGGAACAACCCCACTATCCTTAAATACCCAGCTGGAGTTAGTCATAGGGTTGTTCCCTTTCAATTCACCTTCCTTGCCTCTGATTCAATATAACTGTAGGGTTTGAAATTGAGCTCTCAACTTTAAATTGAAAAATAGCAGTTTTAAAACCAGCAAAAGAAAACTTAATTTCTCGGACCAATACATGCTGAGCTAGAGGAACTCTCTCCAGCAAATCATATGGAGGCTGAAAACTTGGCTGTTACTCTGTAGTATTAAGCAGCCCAAGGAAAATAGATCTTAAAAAAATAAAGAGTTCCAGTTGCTCAGACTTACTCCTGCAGGGCCTGAAGATAAGCAGCATTAAAACTGTGCCATTTTTACATAAAGAAAAGACTAATTTTATGTGATCTGTCTGTGCTATACACAAGAAGGATGTCCCCAGCTGAGGTTCATCTCGCTCTGACACACATCTGATCTAAGGTGAATTACTCCTGGCATCAGTTCTCCGTTTGTCAGGTAGAGATGGTAATACCTCATCTCTCCCTTCTTTAATTTTTGTCCCTTTAGCCTGTAACTTCTCCAGGGCAAACACTGAGTTCTAACCCTGTGGGTATAGAGCTGCTAACACAACAAAAGCCTGCCTTTTGAGGGTTTCACATCCTACGCTTAACATACATGTGAATATTGTTCTTTCATGGAAACCTGCCTAGGTGAACTGAGTCATTGGATATTCAACTTTGTGGGTGGATGCAAAAGAATTGTCCTTTATTAGTGTTTAGGCCACTTGTGACAAATTTAACAATATGTTATGATTTGGGGTGACTTATCTGAATAGCTGTTTAGTAACCAGTTGTTCAGCCAACACTAGCTGTTGCTGATGCAGCTGTCATGGTGTTTCAGTGTTTCTTTGCACTGGAAACCCTGCAGTGAGGTGTGTCTGACTTGAATAACTTCCTAGTTTCAGAGTAGTCTCTTATTTTCATGGCTACTTGTCAGCTCCATAGCAGGTTACGGTGTTATTAACATTCCCCAATATGTGAATATTCTCACCTGTTGTCATCTGCCCCACTGCAAAGTTATCTGATGTCATCCATCTGCTTCTGAAGTTTGTTTAAAATTAGTTTGTATGACTTTGAGCTGGAGCAGTTTTTGTGTTTTCCAAATGCCTAAATGTCACTGATGTCTAACAATCTAGATTCTTCCACGTTAAGATGCTTTTAAAAAAATGGGCCGGCTGTTGGCCTCTAAAACTCAATTAGGAAATGTACTTACTTTGCATGTGGAGCATATAACGTGTCAAAAACAACGAAGCAGGAAGTGCTCTCAGGAGTGCAAAGTATATAAATAATAATAGTGGAAGTGAAGGTTTTATGATACTAACCTGTGCTTCTTTAAACTTAGCTACAATAACTAAGTAAAAAAGTTTTCTGAATTTGTTGGTTTTCATTCCTGTCTCTCTCTTTCATGTGAGGCATTTTGATGTGATAAATTATACTCGACAAAACTATAGCATTTTCACAATCTTTTCCAAAATTCCATGGGGCCCTGTTTATGGTTTCAACTAGATGAGTGTCCTTTTATTTCAGAGCTGAGAGCAGAGGTTGAAATTATTGAGCAGATGAGCAGCAGCAGTGGAAGCAGCTCATCAGATTCGGAAAGCTCATCTGGGAGTGAAGATGAAAGCTCCAGCAGTGAGGGGGAAGAGCCAGCACACGTTTCCCCTTCCCAGCTACCACACCAGCAGTACAACAACAGGAATGCTGTTGCTAATGGCACCAGCAGGCCACAAGGAAGCAATCAGCTCATGAACACACTCCGTAAGTACAGGCTTGTCTCTTATGGCTGTGGGAAGCTGCTTGAGACCACTCATTTTCTTAGCACGTTAGGCTAACTCCATGAAGTGCAGTTTGCTAAATAGTAATCCTACGGAGTTGCACTGGCTGCAATATGTGGGCAGGTTTTTTCAACAGAAGGCTGAAACCTGTCTGAAGGTGTGGAGTTTTTTAGTTTGGTCTGGAGCCTGTGGGCATCAGTGCAGCGGCCCCCACTGACCCTGCTGAGCCTTGATTCAGGCCTCCAGGTGGAACGAGTAGGTAGCAAAGCATGAGTGCAGGAAGATCTGGTGCACTGGAGGATGGGAATTATTTTAATGTGAAACCATTAAAATGCTCATAAATGTGCAGTCTCTGTGGTCTTCGTTATTAGCTGTATTGCTTTGTCAAGAGTAGTTATTCTATACTGTGTTGGTCTCGGCTGCCTTTTCACAAATATCCCATTTTGAAGGGAAATTTAAAGTGCCAAGTATTTGGTTAAAATATTATAGCTATGGCGTTTGCAAGCATCGAATCAGTACAAACTCACTCCACTGTTTAAAGAATGTAAAAAACATTTTTAAAGCACAGTTTTGTCCCATGAGACTCTCTCTAGGGACACGGTGTACATCTGTGTTGCTCTTTCCTTATGCTAGATCAGGTATATTCTGACTCAGTGGAGTTAAAATATTGCATTTACAGGAAACTAAAACATAGTTATCATAAATTGTTCTTAATTCCTCCTGAGGCATGTTTGTGTACATCTCTTGGCACCTGCACACAGGGAACTGGTGGAGTTTAAATGCAGATAAATGTAGGGTTTCCACTTCAAGAAGACAAGTATATTATACAGATGATACTGAAAAGGCCATCTGGAAAACTGGAGAGGCATGCCAGTCTTCCTGTCAGTAATGAATACCTAAGTGCAATCCAAAGTTCAACCAAGTCAGTAGGACTCTTTCCAGTTCCCTGTTTCTGGCTGTGAGCTGCCTCCTCCTTGCTTCTCCTGGGCCATGGCAACAATACCGCATAAGTCATTTAACGTCAAGAAGCGTGACTCCAGGAAAATTTGGGAACTAGTAGGGTAGCTCCTTTTTTCGGGCAGTGATTTTTGCCTTTGGATTTAAAATTCTTTTGCCAAGGATTGAGCATTCAAGTCACTAGTGACCAGCTACTTGGGGAGAATCACCCCCAACACAAGTTCTTGATTCATAAAATGGGAGAGGAGATGAAGAAGTCTAGGGCATAGCTGCTCTTCAGGGGCATGGGAGAATGCTGGAAGAGCTAGGTTCAGTTACCAGAACACAAGCAAGATTCTTGTCCCCTTTTATCCCCTCCACCTCACCAAATCCCAAGTGCTCTGCAAAACGGGATCTGAGACTGTAGGTTTGGTCCATATCCTGGCCTTTTGTCTGGTCTCTCTTTGTTCTTTGGAGGGCGGCCTTTCCTGTCACAGCGTGTGTCAGCTGTGTCAAGCAAATAGCCTTGAGTTGCCATGGCTTTAATGTTCCTTTTGGTTTACTGACATGTGGAGGCTTTGCCTTGTCTATCCAAAGGGCCTTCAAACAAACAAACAAAAAGTCCACTTTAAAAGGGTTGAGAAAGCCAGGGAATTGCCCAGTGCCTTGTCCCAGAGCCATATCCAGGAGCTTGGCTGGGCGGAGGCTGTGGAATGTCTTCTGCAGCTCTAGCATGAGGAGTGCTGTTCTCCCACCAGGCAACAGCTTTGGTGTCTGTGGAGCCAAGGGCGCTCGGTTTGGCCTGGATCTGACCATGTGTCAGCCCCATGCAGCTCTTAATGGTCTTGGGCATGGGAAGTAGTTCCATTAAATGACGGATGATGTTTGCATTCATTTCTTGTGTTATTCTTACTTAAACCTTCAGTGTAAATGTAACTGTTCTTTGGTTTGATTGCTGTGAAATGTGAATGAACGCCTATGCACTCATTGCATTTTGTTGGGTTTTGTTTTCCCTAGGAAATGACTTGCAGTTGAGTGAGTCTGGGAGTGACAGTGATGACTAGAGGCTGAGCTTTTGCTGTTTCTGTTACATGCACATGAAGAACTAATTTACCTTGAGGGGATCCTATTGCTTACGAAGAGGAGCTGGCACAGACATCTTCTGTGTGTGGAATTTTAATAGAGGAAATGTGTAGCCCTACAAAAGAGCAGATGTTGAGGGCTGTTTTACTTTGTGAATTAAGTGTATATTTTGTGTATATTCCTATTCTTTTAAAGCTTTAAATAGACATGTACAGTGGGTAAGCCAATATATGTTCCTATGTTTCTGTCCATCATCAGTGAGTTTCATGTGTAACTTTATGATGTAATCTAAAAATCTGTTGTTTGTAGAAGATATTTGGCCCATCGTGACCTGGGAGGGATGACTTCTGTATATAGGATGAGCATAAGCCAACGAGTTTAAAAAAAACATGCAGGAGCTAGTGTGTGCACTGAAGTGGGACTGTCTTAAGTTTCAATGCTAAGCTGATTTCTTTGGTTTGGGACTTTTCTAATCTCTTTTTATTGCTATTTATGGTTGATTTAATGGAAATCATAAAACCATGTTTGTCACAAACCTTGCTGCACCAGTGCCTTATAAGCAGTTTTTTTTAAACAGAGCTTCAACTCCTGCCACCATTCCTAAAGGTGCGATACTGAAACCTCTTCAGATTGCTTTTGCAAACGAGAGCTGTATTTCACCTACAGCCAACTGTACTCGGAAGGTAGTTACTCTAGCAAGATAAAGGCTATACATCAGTCACCTGAACACATCCAAACGAGAACCAGCATTTTCTTGTGCAACTGAAGTGTCTCATTTAACTCAGACTCTAGTCTTCAGAAATATTTAGGAGCCCAATTACTAGTGAAATTGCAAGATCACAAATACAAGCTATTGGACTTACTGAAACTGTAAGTCCAGAGCCCTGTTTGCAGTTTCCTAGAGAATGCCGAAATAAGAGATGACTAAACAATTGTGAAACTGCAGACGTCTCTCTCCCACCACAGTTGTGCAAGTAGACTTTATTTGTTGGACAGGATCTCAGTGCTTGTCAGGATTATACAAAACATGAAATATTTGCCTAGGGTGAAATTCACCCCTGTTTAAGGGGTTTTAAAGGGTGCTTAGTTGGATTATCATTAACTTTTTTTTTTTGCTGGCATGGAAAATGAGTGCCACAAGTAGCCACTTCCAGCTTGAACACCAGGCTGACTTTTTAAAACCAAAATTCAACTGGTATAGGACAAGTGGTGCTGTGCTTGTGGTATAATCCAGGGGAATAGGAAACTGAACTGGACGCCTCTCCCTTCTTCAGTGTCTGCTTGCACTGGTTTTGTTTGTCAGTTAGGTAGTGTTCTAACTCCTGTTTCTTTACTGAGCTCTTTACGTTTTTGGTTTTTTTTTAAGGTGTTGAAGAGCAAGGGGACATTTGAAAGGAGATTTTATTACATGGTTTATTTTTTTGCATTAGATACATTTAAGGCATATTTTTGCATTATTTTACATGCATTTAATGTTTTTTAAAAGTGTTTTATGATGTGGGTACATATTTTAACAGTTATGAAATATACTTGACATAAAGCCACAATCGCTCTCCTTTTTTTTTCCTTTTTTTTTTTTTTTTTCCCCTGTTCCTCATCTGACAGCAAAAGTGCTCTGCTCTAGCAAGCTTGTACCAATTTGGGATTTGACACTTCAGTGCAGAGATCTCTCTCCATGGTAGTTGGCAGTCTAATGCTACTACTGCTCCTGACTTTTCCCCAGCTTAATATTTGAATAAGCAGGGAGACGTTTCTCTGATGCCATTTCCCCATTACTGGAGCTTATTTCTGGGTTCTGTTGACGTTATTTGCACTTAACGGAAAAGCAGCAGTGTAGCATTTTCATTGCTCATCATTCACTGGCTGCTCATGGCATTCTGAAATCAAGGACAAGTCACAGGAATTTTACTAATTCTGTGTAAGATAAGAAACTTAAGGGGATAAGACAACACCAAGCTGCATTGATTTGAATTGTCAATTTAATTATAGTTTATATCAGCAAGTGGGAAAGCTTCGTTCAGATAATCGATTTCTGCCTTGTTTTGTATTTGTGCTCTGTCATGTTTCCCTGCTATTCCTCCCCAAATGATTTCTTCCCCTCTCTGTTAGTAATTAAATTGACATTTTTTTCACACAATTACATACGCTTTTAAACTACATGTGGCCATCCTTCGTGACACCAGGAGATGTGTCATATCAAGTGTGGCCAGCCTGTAGTTTGTGAGCTGTTCAGCTGTAAATCCCACACTCAGACTACAGCATCTGGTTTCCTGCAGGGCTGTGGAGTAACCCGGCAGCCCACAGCCCACTTGGGGGTGTAAGCAGGCCAGCCTCCACGTGTATGTGACCAGGCTGTCCCCTCCCTGCCACTGTGTCCTGAGCGGCTCTTTTAATTAGTTGGCAATATCTTTAACATGCCAGAGAAATAAGTTGACTAAAATATGTTTTGATTAAACCTGTTAATGGAACACAGTATTCCTGATTATTTCTGGTAGGTTATAATCCCGCAGGATTTTAGCACTAGGAGATCTTACTTCCTTACTCTAATTTTTCCACATAAAGTAGGAACACCCTTTATATACCAGTTAGTTTAAATGGGAATTAACAGTGCATATGGAATGCAATTATCTGAATGAACTGAAATTAAGGAAATACTTCCTTGCATTCATGGGAGAGCTGCCTGCTGTCTTTGACGAGGTTAGCAGTTCAAGACAGCTTTGGTTTCTGAGAGTTCTGTTCAGTGACTTCATTTCAGTGGTTTGACTTTCCTTAAAACTTCACCGACAAACCTGGCCTGTTTAGGACTTTTCCCATAACTATAATTGCTTTAGGAGTAATAATCAAGAATGATAAATTAATTCAGTTAGACTGTCATAATTTCAAATATTGTTACAAATTTTTTTTTTTAAATAAAAAGGCTTCATTTCCAAAGGGACAAATTCAGTCACGTGCTTGTCCATGTTGGACACCTTAAAATACAATTGCAGCAATGCCCAAGTTGGTGTTTAAAATTTCAGTCGTGCAGAAAAGCTTCCAGCCACCTCTGCCCTTGTTCTACCCCCTGAGGGCTGGCACAGCTTGAGTCACTCCAGCTGAACCACAGGGCAAAAGGTGTCCCAGTCCCCTGATGAGAGTTTGTCAGAGCGTGCAGTGCTACCTACCCCTCCTTGTTCCACCAAAGCATCCCCCTCCTGTCAGAAGTCTTGGCTGAACTGGTTTTGTTGAGAAGGCAGACTGATAGGAAAATGTTTTCTTCAGCATTGCTTGGAATAGCTCATAGCTTAACTGTGGGCAGGACATCTATTTTGAAGATACCGTGCCTGAGTTGATTTATACAGTTTGCTTTATTATAGACCAGCTAGATGCCTGTTTATAGCTATGTATAGAAACAGTTTGCTGTGCAAAGCTTTATAGTCTTTTTCCTCCTTCAAAGCCCATTTAGTTCAATTAAAAAATGAAGTTCAACAATCCATGCATGTCTTTTTTTTTTTTTTTAACTTTTGTTTAATTTGGAAACCAACAGAAATGTACCCTGGAATTACTTGTAAAGGAGAACACTTATTTTCAGGAGTTGCCCATGCTTCGTTGTTCAGCGTGCTAGGCACTCTGCTAGCTGCTGAGTTAGAGAGATCTTATGGAAAACACAGCTGCCAACAAATAGGCATCTTGATATGATGAAGGCTTCTGCTGAGAACTCCGAGGACCTCAGTTTCAGCTCCTGAATGTTGAATCTGCTTGGTCATTTACACTTTTTTACACACACACAAATACACCTAATAGCAAAGGGGAAAAAAGCATTGCTGGTGCTTGCCGTAAACAGCCGTGAATGTGAATTTAAAGTAGTTGATTGTTATGTATATCATACACCCAAACTCTGTTCTCAAAAGATAAGCTGATTAACAAACTAATAGTTAATTAGCTGACAACTACTAGTTTATGTGAGGAGGGTGTGTATATAAATTGAAAGGTATCTGTTTAGCTCTTTCTTCCTATTCCCACTGTTTACAGTCCCTTCCTTTCTTCTGTAATTTCCTTATTTCTAGCACATGAATGCTTTCTGCTGCCAGAGTCCTGCTGGAACTTACAGGAAAATGGGGTGGGTGTCGAAGTGTTACAAATAGATTAGCTGTGTTCACCCTTCCTCTAAATTTATTGTAAATGTCAAAGACTTCATGAATGGACCCATCTTCTTCCCCCTCCTTGGCTTTACCTTTCCTGGGCCTAAACACTAACTTTGGACAGCAAACAAACAAGTGATGAGATGCAAGAGGGTGAAATACCTCAAGCTGCTGCTGCTGTGTACCTTGAGGATGCTCCCTTGCCCTTGTGGTTTGGTATGGTGGGTTTTTTGGTAGCAGGGGAGGGGACTACAAAGACAGTTCCAGGAGTTTCTCAGGAGCCAGCAAAAGAGCCTGCGGGAGAAAGAGGAGCAGGATATGAGAGAAACAACTACGCAGAAATGAAGGTCGGTGAAGAAAAGGAAAGGGAGGAGGTGCTAGAGCAGAGATTCCCCTGCAGCCTGTGATGAAGACCATGGTGATGCATGTTGTCCCCACGCAGTCCATGGAACTTGGTAACTCATGGAGATTTAGTGGTGGAGCAGATACCACCTTGTAGCCTGTGGAGGGCCCCATGCTGGAAGAGGTGACTGTGCCCAAAGGAGACCGTGACTCTGTGGAAGGGACCCATGCTGGAGCAGTTAGTGGAGAACTGCAGCCTGTGGGAAGGACTCTCCCGTGAGAGGGACCCCACGCTGGAGAAGGGAAAGACTGTGAGGAGCCCTCCCGCAAAGAGGAAGGAGCAGCAGAGACAACACGTGGTGGGCTGACCGCAACCTGCATTCCCTGCCACCCGCGCCACCAGGGGGGGAAGAAGGTAGAGAAACCGGGAACAAAGCCTTTGGGCCTGGGAAGAAGGGAGGGGTGGGGGAGAAGTGCCTTTCTAGGATGTAGTTCTCTTTATCTTATTCTGGTTTTGATTGTTGACAAAGTAAATTGGTTTTGTGTTTTCCCCAGGTCAAGTCTGTTTCTTGCCCATGACCATAAGTGGTGAGTGAACCCTCCCTGTCCTTGCCTCAACCCACGAGGTTTTTACCTTTTTGTTCTTCCGATTCTCCTCCCCATCCCACTGGAGGGAGGAGAGGGTGAGAGGCTGCGTGGTGCTTAGTTGCCAGGTGGTCTTGAAACCATGACACTTGTGAAGCCATGGCCTGAGCTAGCCTGACTTAACCTCGCAGCATCGTTGTAAATAAACCACCAAATTCATTGCTACCATTGCCCTGTGGCTGGGAGAACTAGAGTTCAGAGAAAATGTGTGTTAAAAATATCTTGCTAAAGGGATTTGCCCAACAGTTTTGTTGAGATGTTTGGCTCTGCCAGTGAGTTTTCATGTGCTGTGCGTAGTGGGGGTACCCACGTCTCCCTGACTTTTGGGGCAGATGCTGGTGGAAGCAGGGGCTGGAGTAAGGTTGACGTGGTTTTTGTCCTATGTGCTGTTGGATATAGTT